CTACTTACACTCAGTGCTAAAATTCTTCCTGTTTTGCTTTAGGGGGCAAAGGGTAATCCCACCAAAAACAATCCACATCTGAGTATGCAATAGGCTCTGTTGGCCAAACCATAGAGTTCATATGAAGAGGTCACCTGTGGAGAGGATTTTGGCCAGAGCTCAGCAACATACTAAATCTGTGGAGAGTACAGGCTGTGTGTTTACCTGTTCTCATCAGCTTTTGACACTGCACATGCTTCTGTTTCCCCATGAAAGAGCTTCCCAGAGTTTTCTCCCACCTATTGAGTGTTTCTGAAGCATCACCCTTACCTATGTTGTCTTTTTTTTGGGGGGGAGGAAGAAAACAATGTTTCCTGTGGGGAGTACCAGCTACTTTAGGTTGATATTTCCATTTCAAGTACAGAATTCTCCTTTGGAGGACATTACCTGCTAATTAATTGCACTCTAGCCAGGCATTCAGAGACATTTCTGGCATACTGAAACCTTTCCCAGACTCACAGATGGCCTTTGATCCTCCTAGATCCTTGCTCTGAGCTGGACCTAAGTTCTGTTCTGAGGTTCCAGTGCTGTACTCTCAGCTTGGTAGATGCAGCATCACACTCTCCAGAAGGGTCTGGCAGCTCTAGTGTTTCTTAACTGCTCTGATGTTCTGCTCTATGTTCTGGCCTGTTTGCAAAGCAAATATTTACACATTAGACACCAAAAGAAACCAACTTTATGCTGGTGGACTGAAAACTTGGCCATGAACATGGGGATTTCAGGGAACAGTTCTCTGCCTCCTAGCAGGAGCAGGTTCTGTGGGGGTCATCAGCTCCTCAGGGTGTGGTCAGAGGCATCTCTTGCACAGGGCTTTTAACTGCTTCCATCTGAAGCAGCAGAGATCCAATCTGCACTTCTACTTGTGTTCTTACAGGTTATTTACTAGCTGTAACATCACACTCAGCTAGCTCCCAGGCCTGTTTAATTAGTGCCTGCTCTCTAACGAGGTGTTGCTGCACTGGCCAGCCCGTTAATGGAATTACTTTGGACTTGCTTCTAACCTTTTGTGTCCCTCTCTCCTTACAGTGGATAGCTCTGAAATACCCCAACATTGCAATCTATGTGGATACCTGTCGAGAGTGCTATGAAGCTTATGTCATCTATAATTTTATGGTTTTCCTTTCAAATTACCTAACCAACCGTTACCCAAACCTCGTGTTAATCATAGAGGCCAAAGACCAGCAGAGACATCTGCCCCCTCTGTGCTGCTGCCCGTCGTGGGCCATGGGAGAGTGAGTACCAAACAGCATCCTAAAGCTTTAAAAAGAGAAGGGAAAAGGTCACCTGGCACTTGTTCCCTTTGCTGGGATGTAGTATTTGCCAAAAAACCTGGCGTGGGATCTCTGGTAGAGCCTGTGGCTGCCAGTGGTGCAGGGTGAAAGGCCACGTGCCCCTCAGCTCTGTGTTTCTGCATGGGTAAGCTGATAAGCATCTCTCTGAAGGGGTTTTGATAAAGCTGTTTGATATGTTAGACTCTGAATTGAAGTCACTCTTAAACACCTTCAAACAGTGGAAATGGCATTCTCTTTGCTTAGCCCACCCAGAAGCTTTCTGTGGCTAAAAGAAGTAAATAATTTGACTTTTTTCCTGTTATGTATCCCTAAAAGTCTCATTTTTTTGTGCATATCCACACCACATTCTGTAACATCCAAAGTCCTGGAGGCAGGGGCTGAAATCACCCTGAAATAAATATTCAGTTGAGTGAAAACTCCTGAGAACTTCAAACATCCCCAAGTGAATTGTCTTTAAATTCCTGCTGATGATTTTTTTTGTCTTTCTCTTGCAGAGTTTTATTATTTAGGTGCAAACTGGGTGTTCTGCAGTACACTGTTGTCAGACCATTTACCACCATTATTGCTTTGTAAGTACACTCCCTCATTAATAATTCATCTTGACTCTCCATATTTTTACCACCATTATTGCTTTGTAAGTACGCTCATCAATAATTCATCTTGACTCTCCATATCAATATTGGTTAGCTGTATGTCTCCCAACCAAAGCAGCTTGGCTGAAAAGCTGTTTAATTACTGAATTCCTTCAGCAGTGGGTTTGTTAACCCTGCATTCCAACCCTTTATCCACGGAGGATCCCCAACGAGCTCCCTCTGCCCTGTGCTGTTGGAAGCTGATCCTCGTGCAGGCTCCTCAGTGCCCCTGTTGGGAGTCCCAAAAGAGTCTGATGGATGCAGCATTTCCAGAACTTTTTTACTGCATGGTGATTAACTCTTCCAACTCCTCCCAGGATCTGTGAGCTGGTGGGGGTGTACGACGAAGGGAACTTCAGCTTCGACAACGCCTGGACCTACCTGGTCATCCTGAACAACATGTCCCAGCTGGTGAGTCCTCAGGGCACCTCTGGGTCACCCCAGGAGTGTCACAGGAGCTGTGTGCATCTCTGCTGATCCTTAGGGGCAGAGTGTCCCCACTCTAGGTCACTATCTGTTAAATACCATGTATTTTTAACTGAAGAAATGCCACAGAGCGACCTCCTCACAAAATACACAAGGGTTTGAAAGCTCTTCTCCATTTTCTCTCCCTGGTTAGTTTGCCATGTACTGCCTGGTGCTGTTCTACAAAGTGCTGCGTGAGGAGCTGAACCCCATCCAACCCGTGGGCAAGTTCCTCTGTGTGAAGATGGTGGTTTTTGTTTCTTTCTGGTCAGTGGACTCTTTTACTTGTTGCTCTCTGGGTGGATCATAAATAAGGTGAAGAGGCTGGAATCGCTGCTGAGGTCAGAGGGCTCCCAAAATCCACCCCTCATCTTAGGTGAAGGGTGCTGGTGTGTTAGAGCAGTCTTGGTCCCTGGAGATTTTATAGACTTGATATTTTCTAAGGTGGTTCTCAAGAGGATAATTTATTTTAGAATCTTCACTTGCAGTTATTTCAAAACATTATTTTTTTAATTTAAAAATTAAAAAGGCTTTTTCAAAAAGAGTTACTGTAAGTTAACTCTAAGTTACTGCTCACACTTGGCTGCTGATGAGTGAGTGCATTTACTCTCTAAGATTACTCTGGGCTGCAGTAATGCCTTACCCTGAAGAGAAGCAATCTGTTCTAATAACTAACTAGAATTATGGACCATGGGTGGATGACATCTCTTTTCATAAAGTTTATTCTCCTCCTCTAAAAATCTAAACATAAAACCTTTGTAGTGAGATTCTCCCCATGGCCATACGTACACACACATACGGCCAGGCCTCAGTTTTGGGGTTTGTTGGCAGGATTTTTGGCACTAATATTACACTGATACTGTCTCTCTAGGCAAGCTGTGCTCATTGCCCTGCTGGTGAAAGTGGGGGTCATCTCTGAGAAGCACACCTGGGAGTGGCAGAGTGTGGAAGCTGTGGCCACGGGGCTGCAGGTGGGGGCAGACAATCCCTTCTTAGTCCCAAGAGCTGTACCAACCCAGGAACTGTTCTCCTCCAGTTCCAAGTCCTAAGTCAGTGTCTCTGTTGCAGGACTTTATCATTTGTGTGGAGATGTTCCTGGCTGCTATTGCCCATCACTACAGTTTTTCCTACAAACCCTACGTCCAGGAAGCTGAAGAGGGGTCGTGCTTTGACTCTTTCCTCGCCATGTGGGATATTTCTGATATAAGAGCAGATATATCAGAACAGGTTCGAAATGTTGGTAAGTAACAGATTTGGGAGCTCTTTCCAGCTTCGTTTGACACTGTTGGCCAGTGTCCTGCTTGGTGGTGGGGTGCTGGGAGGACTCACCAGTACTCTCCTTTGGCATCACCCTAGGAAGGACCGTTTTGGGCCAGCCGAGGAAGATGTTCTTTGCTGAGGATCACGAACAAAACGAGCACACAAGTTTACTGTCTTCATCTACTCAAGACCCCATTTCTGATGCTTCTTCCATGCCATCTTCCCCCATGGGCCACTACCAGGGGTTTGGACACACTGTGACACCTCTCACCACACCCACGGCGGCGCCAGCGGTCGGTGGCCTCTATACCAGCACTGCTGCCCCGGGTGCTGAGCAGCCCCCAGAGCTGGAGCACAGGCTGCCAGAGCAGGCTCTGGACAGGAGTTAGAGCCATTTCCTGGAGCGTGGCAGGGAGCCTGGTACCTGCTGTGGGAGCTGGAAAGCTGGGAGGAGCTGCGGCACAGGCAGGAAGAGGAGGTGGCTGTGACTGACCCCTGGATTCTGCCTCCACCCCCGGGGGGGAGGATTGGGGAGCACCCCGTGACTAAACCACGCACACTGTAAAGGTTTCTGCAGAAAACTAAGAATGATTGACTCCTTAAACTGCTGCACACTTACCCATCATGTCTAAATCACATTGACTTTTATTAATGCAAAAGAAATGTTTGAACAAAACACTCTGCTCTCCTAAAGGTGAAGTGTAAATGCTGCTAGCGATGGGAAAACTGAGTTTCAGGAATGTAGTTGAAGAGGGGGGCAGCAGCAAAATGGGCTTGTGCTGCCTTTGGCTGCCCCCCTGATGTTGGGAACTGCCCTGCCCCAGTGCTGAGGGGAGCGTGGGCACAGGGGTACCTTCTGCTTCCCCTTCCTGCACAGCTAACAAACCCCCCTCGTGAGGAGGACTACAGAGAAGCTGTATGAAGGAAGCATTCCCTGCAGGCCTCCCTGTGAAATTCCATGCCCAGAACAAGCGGTTGGTGGGTCTGTTCTCCTTGTAGCTCATAACCTGTAGCCTTCTACACTCAGAAGAGACAGCCAGGCTGCAGTTTTGGATGAATCCCTTACCCCTGACTGCTTTTTTCCTAGCCTTCTAAAGTAATAACGGTTACTACCTGAAAATACAGGGAGAGGGAGGGAATAAAGGGTGTCAGAAAAGGAAGCAGAAAACAACTCATTCATTTGTTTTGGGCTGCAGTCCATTCTTTAATGCTTAAGTTTTCTTTAAGCTGTTAAATCAGGGCATCCTGACAACCTGTCTGTAGTGACTTGTGCTCATGAGGTCGTGTGTGGTTGTTGTGTTATGCTTCAAGTTTAGCCTGGATCCAACTGTGAGAGTTGATTTTTTCCCCTCCAACCCATAGAGGACCCTGGCTAAGGTACAACTAGGTAGCTGGTCTAAGCCTGGAGGCACTAGCATTAGATTTCAGACCAAGTACACTTAGATCAAAATGTAATTTTGCAAAAAAACCCCAACAAAATCTGAGGGGTGTGTGTTTACCCCAGTGCCAGATTTCTACTATTGCATGTTTGCCCTCTGCCATGAAAGGTCAGTGCTCTAGGGGTTGGTTTGTTGAAGTGACAGCTGAAGTTTCTCTTGCAGCACTGCTTGCATTTACAGGATCAATGTTTAACTTCTGCCTGTCACAGGAAATTCATCTGAAGTGCTTTTCTTTTGCAGCACTAGTGTGATGTAAATATTGCCTTACTCACTAGGCTGCAGGTTTCAGAGCTGACTGTGCTCGCTGTGTCTGTAGTGGGGAAGTGCAAATCATCCCTTTCCATTTGCCAAGTCATTGCCTTTGTTGTAAATATGCAATTAAAGATTTTATTTAAACTCTTCACTTTCTTTCAGTTTCATTGAGTGGGAAGGAAGACAACTGTCCTCTCCCTGGAACAAAGGGATCTGAACTAGAACTAGCACAAGAGTTTGGCCTTGGGGTATTTAAAGCTTGTAGTGAGAAGGTGTTGGAGCTTATGGAGAACTGTAATCTACTTATTTGTGCTTGACTCCAGGTGTCTCTGTATCCACCTGGGCACTCCAGTGCCCACTGTAGCCACTATTAGAAATAATCTGATTTCCTGCATGTTACAGGTAAAAAGGGGCAGTGGTGGAAGCAATATCTGAAGGATAAGAGCTGCTGGAAGCTGAGCAGCTGCTGAGCTCGAGCTCTGCAACAACCTCACACTGGAAAACTTCATTTAATAGCTGAAGTTGTAGCTGTTTGGTGTAAAGTACAGAAAACAGCTAGTGAAGTGTCTCAGTTCTTTCACAGCCTTTCTGGGAAGCTACTGAGTTATTTTTTTACCACTCAGTTACTCCAGGTGCACAGTATTCCTGCTTTTTTCCTGGGAGAAGAGTTATTTATTCATGGCAGTAGCTTCTATGATCATACCTTTCCATTAGAGATTGCTGCTGAGTTGCCAAAACAAACAGAAATCTTCCAGGGATGCCTGTCCTAAACCACTCCAGCAGTGTCCCACAATTAGACAAAGCTCCTTGGCAAGCAGTCCATCTTTGTTGGCCACATCAGCTCCTCCATTGTTCACACCTCCTCTCCTCCCAGCTTTTCATCACAAGTCTTACAGACTGCTCTTGCCCTACTCAAACTGCTTCACAACTCAGCCATGATCACTTCCAGCCCTCTACTCTCATGACAGGGGGAATATAGCCTTAATTTTTTTCTTTAACTTGATTTGCTGTCTTATTAATTGCTAAAAAGGTGACTAAACATGCCTAACCACTATTATTTAATGCTTCTGCTGCACTGAATTAATGGCAAGATAGGAGCTTGTGTCAGTCCTCACTGTGGATCTGAATTTAACAGAGGGACTCTGTCAGCTGCACTCCACCAAAGTGCAGTGCTGCAGTGGGGACTGAGGTGATATTTCATACAAATAGCCAAGAGTTGGGGCCCATTGTCTTCACAAAAAAAGATCCTGAGGGGTTGTAGAGAATTTATTAGCTTCACCTTCCCCTAGACAACCTGAGTTACAAGAAGTTACAAACACTGTTGAGTAATTGTATCACGAGGACTCATTTATTCCTGGCCTCTGGCTGTTTGTCTTGCTCCACATGACAGGGTAGCAGGAGAATTCTGCTGTTGTCTTCACTGCAGGAAAAACCTGATTGAGAGTGGGTGTAATTACTCCCCTAACTGCCTGGTAGGACACCCTTATAGTCCAAGCTTTACTCCATCAATGAAACCAAAGTATTGACCAGGAAAGCAACAAAACACCTTTTTGATCAGTAGATAAAATTTAGACTTTAATATAAATTACTCCCAGTGCTGCTGAGAACAGCCAGTTCCTGCACAGCTCATTCAGCACACCCCCACTCACACTGTTTCCACACTCCTCACCGTTTCACTGTAATGCTGATGTTGCTCTTGTGGTGCTGGACATCCAGCAGGAGTTCATCCCCAGCCTGAACGTGGATGGGCTCATCCAGGACCACTGCAGCCTGTTTCCAGTGGGAGGACTCGTCAGACGTGTCCAAGCTGTGGTCCTCATCCAGATGGATGTGATACCAGAAGGGAATGGCAGTGACTCGACCAGACTTACAAATCTGCACCTAAGAACAGTCCAAATATTCCCCAGTTACACCCTGTTTGAGGTGGTTAAGAACATGGAGTGATTCAAACCACTGCAACCCCTTGCAGAGAGGCCTGCAGACCAACTCTGCCCTGAAATGCTCAGCCAAGGTGAGGAAGGAGGAGGCTGAGAGCAGCAGTTACACAGGCTCCTGCCTGCTGTGCACACAACTCACCTTCACTTCCCTGCTGGAGGTGTTCAGCAGAGGCTCCATGAGGTCCAGCCTCAACAGCTCTGCTGGCTGGCTCAGGGGCAGGCAGGGCAGTGCAGAGAGATCCAGGTACACCCGGACAGGAACCTGAGGGGATGCACAACAGCTTCAGGCTTTGACAACCATGGAGAAGGGAAAGGTGAAGGAATCCTAGCACAGGGGTTTCTAGGAATTACTGTGAGAGAGGTGTGAAATACACCCCCCCCAAATGTGCCCTGGGATAGGAGGTGATGGGGGAGGCAGGAGCTGCACAGTCCCTCCTGTACTGCTACACTCCAAAGCTTCTCCCAGGCCAGTTGTACAGCATCACCCACTGCACCTCATCTCACACTCCCTGTCTGCTCACACAAACCTGGTAACTCCAACACTATAAAAAAAGCTCCAGCTCTACTGTTTTCTTGCTGTTTACACCACAGGCAGCCAGCTGCAGGCTTTGGAAGACCCCCCCCAGCTCCCTACCTTGAACTGGTTGATAAAAGGGGCTATGTGGAAGCCCAGGGTTGGCTCTGTTCCCTGCACAGCACTCTCCAGCAGCAGCGACTCCGACTCCACCAGCATCCCGTACACCAGCACGTACTGGGGGAAAATCTTCCCCCCACTGTGAAGTAAACATCTGGAAAATGAGATTAATGAGATGTTTTAGAGCTTACAACTTTTTTGGCTGCCCATTTCCATTGGTTTATTCCTCTTGTAAGTGAACCTGAGCTTTCCTAACCCTGCCCTGAGAGCTGCCTCAGCTGTCACTGAGATGGGAACTCTGACAGACCAGGCAGTAAGAGCTTCTGTCCATGCTCTTGCATACAAAATAAGTCTATGGAAGTAAAAACTTGACACTTTTGGGTTTTTTGAAGATACCTGTGTACAATGGTCACACCAGAAACACTCTGGGGGGTTCCATCCCTTCAGGAAATGAGCTTTTCCTGCTCTACAGTACCACAATGACAGCAATTTTTCAGTTGGGAGGGCTATTTTCAGAAGTTTTCAGGTAATTCCTGATTTCTAGGAGTCTTTCTGTCCCTTCACACCATACCTGGATATTGCAGCCTTTTCCATCACCTCCTGCTGGATCAAACCTGAAGTCTCTATAACATCCAGGATAATGATGCTCCACAACTTGTCTGACTTGGGTCTCTGTAGCACCACGTTTTCATCTTCCAAGTGGCTGAGCCAGAACTCTAAAGTCTCCTTGGGGAAGTGGTTGGCTTCTGACAGGACACCCAGTGCTGCCTGCTGCTGTTCTTTCTCAACAGAGCTGTAGGCTCTCACTGGTCCAAGTTTACCAGCAATCACTGGCAGGATGGAGAACCCCTCAGACACATCTAAAATGTACAAAGGATCAGGAGTCTCATCTAGAGAGCTCTTATCCTGCCCCTCCTGGAGGCTCGTCCCACCGCCAGGTCCGTCGATATCCATGGACTGCAGGTCCTTGCTTGGGTTCAGTGCCAGCAGGACTCTGCCCATGGCAGCTTTGAAGCACTCGTGGTAGGCTGTGTTGTTTAGCAGGGCTATTTCTGTGGATTCCAACACGCAGGCTTGGCCCTTGCCCTCCCCTTTGCTGCTTGTCTGCAGCCCAGCCAGGGCGTTGCACAGTTCGGCCTCGTGGCCCAGGGCCTCGTCTCTGTCCCCAAAGTCCATCTGACACTCTGAGCTCAAGGAGGAAATCTTCTGGATCTTCAAGTAGCAGTCTTGGCAGCACACCTCCATTGTCACTGTGTCCCCAGTCTTCACAGAATACTCTTGAAACAGCACAAAAAAAGTCACATCAGTTACTTCACGGCAAACAGCAGTGGAGGAGCCATAGGGTGCTTAAAAAACAACCCCCAAATGTCTCATTTTTCATTTGTTGTTAGTAGCACAAATGAAAGAATTGTTCTGGTCTGTAGCTCACAAGCTCCCACCTGCAGCTGGGCATTAACATCAGCCCTCAACTGTCCCACGCTTGGCAAAATCCATTTATTCCCAAAATAAGCATTGCTATGATCAGCAGGTATCACCTGAAGTGTTCTGGCAACAGCAGAGTGGAACAAAAACATACCAGTAAAGAAACTGCTTGTGCTTTAAAATGCTAAATATTAAATACTCACATGTTAATGCCTCCTGCAGACACAGGTAAATATGGAGTCAAATGGAAAACAACAGCTACAGTTTAGAAAGGGCAATTTATTCATAATAGATTTTACTGGAACATTTATGGTGTGCAGCTCAAGGCAACCTCTGGATGCTCTCTGTGCACCTTCTAAGCAACTCAATCCACTGCTACAGACCAGAATTCCAAAATAAAAATGCTACAGGCTGACAGACATATCTTCCAAAGGCAACACAGGCTACAAGAGTCTCCTCCCTCCTCCACACTGCCACAACAAAGCCCCCAGGACATACCAAGAAGGCCCTGCACAGGGTAGACTGCCTGTTCCCAGCAGGTTTCCTCACTAGGGCTGGTGGAGAGAGCATGTTCATCATCAAGCTGTAGTACAAACCACACCACAACAGCATCCAGAGTTCCTCCTTCAGTGACTGGCAGGCTGAGCTTCCAGGGCTTTCTAGCTGCAAGGCTTTTCAGCTCCTGACCAAAGCAGAAAGAGAGGAAATGTGAGAGAGTTTCTTTCCATCAAGAAAAAAAAATGGGTTTTATGACACTGAGTCACCCAAACTTCTGCACCACTCCATGAGGGCACCTAAAAGAAGCCTGAAGTTCACAAGCCACTCCAATATCACTTGCCCCTAGTACTCACTGGCCTGGGAACTGTCTTCCCACATGCAATGATTTTGATTTGTAACCATTTTGCTGACCCTCAAGTCAAACATCTTGGAGGGGTTTTGCCACCTGGGCTGTAAGCTTGATGTAGAACCTCAAGCGTGCACAATTTCACTGCTGGGAAGAACTAAGGTCTCACTTCAAGGGATGTAAGTTCTCCAGTACTTCTAAAAAGCTCTGAAGATGTAACAGAAATTGTCTCCTTCCATGTACAATTTGTTTTCCTCAGTCACTACCCTCTGTTACCAACACTGACAATAAAAGAGACCCAGGTCTAATGTCCTGGACAGCTCTGGCAGCTGATTAACAGGCTGGCAATTTATCAGCTACTGCAGCTCAAGAGACAGCAAAGAGAAGAAAGCAACAGTGCAGGAGGAGGCAGTAACAAACCAAAATGATGCTATGGCACATGTGTCCTCTCAGTGAGACAGACAGCTTGCATTGAGGAAGGTAAATGGGACCCCAAATAGAAAAACCACAGGGAGGTTGCAGTGAGCAAGTTTTCTATGTCTTGATCCAGATTTTCTCAAATGTTCCCATGAAAACTAGAGCCAGCATCTCTAATGGTTGGCAAGAGCACTCTTCCTTTAGGGCTGGAAAGTGAGACTGAGCTTTAATTACAGGCTGCTGAGGTAAACACTCACTTCCACTCCAGAGGCACTGATCTGCTGCCAGCAAACACACACACAGGCAGGAGCTGGGCAGCTGGAGGTGTCTGCAGCCTGGAATTACAGCCACCTCTTGCTCTCCTGGCCTGGGAGGAGCTGAGCTGCTGCTAACAACAGGAACAGCAGCAATAAAGTAAAGCAGAGCTCAGCTGGGGTTTGTGTTTTGGGCTTGTCCCTGGGTTGTTTCTTTTTAAATTGACTTATTGTTTCTCTGCCCTGTCCTGATGTTTTTGCAGCCTCCTACAACTCAGTCTGAGAAACTGTTGCCCTGTATTTTAAGTGTTTTTCTCAGTTCTGTCAATTTAAGTCAGGATAGTGAGTACAAGCAGAATAAATGCAACACCCCCCTCAGCCTTTGAAATACAAGTTTAGACAATGGGGCTTTGACATTTCTTTACTAGTGCTAAGTGATTTCTAACCTCAATGTCCTCTTTAGTAGCTGGTTCTTCTCTTCATAAGTTTAGCAGACTATTTTGGTTTTAATTCCAATAGAAACACAGAAAATTTTGCTCTTTTTTAGTTGCACTGATTCAAGATTCAGATGTGGCCACGAGAAAACAAAAACACCAAAAAAGAAACCAAACAATACTTCCTGAAGTTGAAAGTAGCCTACCAATGTTTGGAACTGCCACGTTTGCCTAGTGACAAAGTAACAACAAACAGTAACCAAGGATTCCCAATAAATTGATTCCATTTCTTCCCTTTATATTAACTGACCCCATTTTACCAGAACACTCACTGAAACTCCAAAGGAGCAGTTCTGAAACACAGTTTCAAGAGCAACATTGTTCTTTACTCTTTAAAATGATCTTTACATGCCTGCCAGCAGGCAGATGCTTAAGAGCAGGCACCTCTCAGATGAGAGGAATACTTTTATTGATGCCAGAAGCCACATCAGGTCACAGAGAGATCACTCCCAGTGGTATGCTGAAGATCCTTGACTTCTTCCATTTTTCACTTCAGGATGTTTGACAAGGCAGCTAGGAAAAGCTATTGATTCAGAAACACTGCAACTCCTGGCCAAGCAGTAGCCAAGATTAATTTCCTTTATATAACAGAATCTATTCTAGGCTCTGACTCAGTGCTAGCTCCACACCCCAGGTGGATGAGCAGGAAACACCCAAGATCAGATGTGTCAGCCCTTTAGCAGGCTCAGCTGTGAGCTGCTGGGGCCCCTGCCTCACACCTCAGGCCTCTTTAGCACATGCATACAGATGTATTTTGTCCAAAATACACAAATTAATGCTCTCTTACTCATTTTAGAATGTCATATTACAGAAATACTGTAAGATACCACAGGGGCTGAAGAGTGGAATCAAAGTGGTTGAATAGGGTAAGGTAACTTCATCTCCCTTCTCTTTTACACTTACCCATCAACACTTAGAGATGTTTTTATACCAGGTATAAAACATTTCCCCTTCTCTTTTACACTTACCCATCAACACTTAGGAAATGTTTTATACCTGGCATAAAAAATCTCTTTCTCCTTTGTCTTCAAGGGCTTCTTGAAGATTAACTTTAGAGGAATAAACTAAGTCAGCTCCACAACTGCATAAATAATTTAAGATGGTTCTATTGCATCCCTCCTCCTCAGCCCTGTACCAAGGCTGGCAGCTGTCTGATCCTATGGTGAGCTCCTTGAGTTCCTTAAACAGATAAAAAGCTCCACCTCCTAAAACTCAGATTGTCACCTGATGCATCACATCACCTCACACCCTGACAAGTACCAACACCAGCAGAGAACTTCAGAGCAGCCCTGGCAGCTTTGCACTCGTGAAGGGTTCTGAACCTGAACCTGGAGAGCAAATAAAATATGGGGGGCTCATTATTCCTAAAAAGATGTTAAAAATAATACAAGTCTTTACCTGCAGATCATTGAAGTCCACTGTCATTAACTGACAGGGTTCTGTCAGAGGCACGTAGCCCCCAGGAATCCGACTGAGCTTCTCAGTGGTGTAAGGCTCAACAGTCTCCTCTGAGCCAGCAGAAGGGAATGTTGGGCTGAAGAACTGCACCCAGTCTGACAGGTGCACACCAGCTACTTCTTGTGTTCCCACCCTGGGAGGAAAGGAAGAAAAGAGGGGGGAAAAAAACCTTAAAAACACAGCTAGCCTGGGAGGAATTTCCTGTTAAGTAGTTTTAAATGCACAGAGTGCAAGAATAGGAAAACTAAACCCCAATAAAATAATTCTGTGGGGTTTCTGTTATGTTCAGAGCAGCTCTAAAGAGCAGAAAATGCATGACACTGTCAGGAACCAGAACTGAATGCTGTCATTAG